GCAAAGAAGTGTCCAAAACCAATTACTTTTTTTCATGTATTCTCATAATTTATATATGGTCAAAATGTTTGGGTTTGGTTTTTGTTGTTGTTGGGTTTTTTTTTTTCCTGTTTCTAAGCTGCCCTCTTTTTGCCAGGAGCATTTTTATTTCATTTAAGTTTTAAGAACACTCAAAATTAATAATTTTAAGATGGAAAATGACAGACTTCTGACTGCAACTGTGCTAGTGGGGACTGCAATCACTGTTAGCATTTTCCATTATTTCATTACATTATTTTGTCAGATTTCCCTCAATCCTATTTTATGTAAATTTACCAGCTTTGTAGTTCGAGTTACCACCAGAACGATGCACTTCTCTAACTTACTATGTTTCCCATTAAAGGACGGAAAAATAGCAACTTCTAAGTAATTGGATCAGAGAATATTGCATAGAATCCTGTCATGTTCACGAACCCCCTTCTCTACACCATTCCCATATGAACAAGTTACATAAAAATAATGCAAAGATCTTTCACCTAATGAGAAAGGCACATACATTTTTTTCTTTTCACTGCAAGACAGCTCTTTCCTGTTACAGCAAGGAGTTTATTACTAAAGGACTCACAAATTCACGATATGGCCAGAGTGCACTGATACAGGTTCCCTTAAGGAGTGGCTCTATTTATAGGCGTTTTACAGATGAACAAATAAAATGGTCAAATTTTATGGCATCAACAGCAATTGTAATTAAATGCATTTCTGCCAATAAACATGTGCAATTTTGTTGTCTGGAATTGTATCCTCAAAAATGGAAGCGTATCAACAATCATATTGTACGACCCCTCTGCCAAGGGATACTCTTCTCTTGCTTTTAGCAAAGTATTACACTTTTTTCCTTCCTAACCATCGAGAGAAAAATCCACAATTTTAACTGCAGTATATAAAGGTATTTCTGTTAAAATAGCCTGGGCCTTTCATCCACAGCTTTAGTAAGAGCATGGAACTGGAAACAGAAAGAGAAAATAAAAATGCTTTTAAAGAACCTCAGGAAAACACAGATTCTGGCATTAGAGATTTTCTGAAAACTACCTGTGCTTTTAGCCGTCAGGAAAAGAAATGCCATCAGCGAGGGCTGTTGCCACGCTCTGCGCTCTACAAAACGACTGCCCCGCGAGACGAGCCCCCCGTCACACGTGCGTAAGCAACGCCTTTTCCCTTCCCGCGTCATCAGTGACCCAAGAGGGTGCAAAGCCACCGTGCTACCCTGGCATTTCTTCTCCTCCGATTTTTTATCCTTTTCTTTTAATTAAGTAAGAAAAGTTATTCCAATACACATTTTCCTAAAAGCATTACTTTCAAATGCTGCACTAGATCAGAAATATAGCTAAAATCTTTCAGTGTTGCTGAAGTTCAGTCTCCAAACCGGGGAGGTCTCTGCCAGTTTGGAAAGCCAGTAGGTAACTCATCTCCAACAAGAGAATCTCAGCAGTAGTTCAAGCTAATCCATTTTACTTTCCACTGAAACAGAAAAGCAGCTGTGACCTTGGCTAAAAATCGGGAACAAACAGCTGGGAACATCTCTTAAACTCTACGAGCTCCATCTGAGGGCGTTCGTCTGCCCGTGCCCTTCAATAAGGTGGTCACTAAGGAACCCAGAGCGACTCCCGGCAGGATGGCCCGGGTCACCCCCACAGCATCTCAGCAGGCTAATCCGCATTCAACGCAGATCATTAAATATGAAACAACGAAAGGAGCTAAGCCATTAATAAAGTGCCAAAAATATAGGAAATACTGACAGCATTTTATTTGATTAATTTTATAATAGATACCAATGACAACCCTTGGCAGGATGGAGTGACTTCTGACTTATGACTGCTGTCTTTATCCAGCGAAATTACATGAGTCAAATGTAATAATGGAGCTTAGAATTAACAGTTAGTGTTATAAAAGAAAGATTTCCTCTAGGGCAAGCTACAGATATGCTTTTTAAAAATCATTACAGCATTAAAAACCGGGCAGACGCTAAAGAATCCTAACGAACTAGTGGAAACCTGAAAAGCAAAAAAAAAAACCACCAGAAAAAAAAAAAGATATAAGTTTCAAGGCACTTACGTATTGCTTATTAAGAAGAGAGATTGACCTTAAGTGCTGCATTTGCGTTCAACCTGTGAATACAATTCTGCTGTCGTATAATGCAGCAAGAGCTCTCAGTAAGCATCATGGAATGCAATCATATAGACACAGGCACAAGAACAGTTTGGGGAATATTAATTAAAAAAAAATAAATCATCAAACAGAAAAAAACCTCACTATGGAGAAAGCTGAGAGTAACCACTTGACTGCATCAAGCACCTGGAACTCAAATCAGCAGACAAGGACAGTAGAAACAGACTGGCAAGTGTATTGCCTAAAATTCAATTAAAAATAACCCAACCTGAACCAAACAACAACAAAGAAAAAAAAAAAAAGAACGTAAGAAAATATCTGCGTCTTCTAGTCAGAAGTTTTGCTTCTTGGCTGAAGACGCATCTTGTTATGACTTGTGTTAAGGTATGTGTATTTTTACCAGGACGTGCATTTATCGATGGAGCTGTGCTTTGTAAGTCAAACCAGGACACTGTACAGATACAGAGAGGTACCACTTTGCTTCACCATGTTATTTCCCTCGCTGGCCGTTCCCGCGGACTAACTGCACTCCAGATAAGAAGCCGTAACCGCTTCCAGCACGTGCTGTCACATACTGGTGTCTGTTATTACAAATTGTCTCCTCAGCTCATCACAGAATGGGGCAGTTGCTCTCTCCGTTTCTCCATTTTAGTTGTGCATCACAAGTCCCCAATTACCCAAGGAGGAATCCTGAAACAGCTAGCAGTAAAAATAGGAAATAAATCCCTGCCTTTCAGCCTCCTAGAGCCTTCTTTTCTTAATCATGAACAGGATTGGTTTTAGTGTACTGATTCTTAATTTGTGAAAACTTGCGCTAAGTGCTGCTGTTGCATGTTAAGAGACTGTAAATGAAATACATAAGTTCTAAAACATCATGCAAGAAATGTGGTTTCACATCTTACAGTCAAAAATCCTACTAATGAATTAATACAAGCACACTGAGGTGTAATATTGGGAACATACCTTTAAAGTCGGAACTCCTCTCCCCATCCCTCCCTCCCCGAAAATCAGAAAAGTAATATTAATTAAACTTAAGAAGTAATGAATGCACCATTAAAGTGTCATCAAAAAGATGCTGACCTAAGACAAAAGTTCAATGATACACAATACGGTCAAAAAGTCTTCAATCAATAATATACAGTATGACAACTACATCTCGTAAATTATACCCAATACTGCCGGCAGTCTATCCCTCTAAAGAATATTTGCCCCCTTTCATCCCTTCCTAACAATCAGATAATAAAATACAGCACCTATAAATAAATAAAAAAAAATTATATATATATATATTTATATATATATATATATTCCGAAATCATCTATTGTTAGTTTTAAAGATATGGCAATAAAGGAGTCTAAATTAGCAAACTTGTAGAAGCCATAACTGATAAAACAGCTTATTGAAAAAAGGTGGCAGTAATGCACTCTATGTGTGCACAAGTACGTAAGAAAATACACAGACGTATAAAATTGCACGCACACACTCACGCACACACATCCTTCCACACACCTCTATGCTCACGCATATACATATAGACAACAGGAGGAGTTAGAGACAAGTTAGAATTTGATTTGTACTTTGATCAGCCCTAACCTGTGCATAAAATAATGGAAAAAGGCTGTATTTCTGCAGGGCAGAATGGTATAGACTGGGACTCGAGAGCATGAATGTTTTGGTTTGGAGTCTGGGCTATTTCCGTCCAGGTAAGAGCCCGTCTGGTCATTGCCATGTACTCTTTTTTCCACGCAAAAATAAACTTCCCACAACTAAAACGTATCTAAAATCAGTGCTTGTGGTGGGAAGAGAGTCAGTAAATGGCCACCAACAGCAGGAAAAGTTCTCTATCTGAGGCAGCTCCAGTCCCCTTAGTGGTGTGTGACAGCAATCGTACACGTGAACTACACTTTAATCGATTTCAGGTAAGCTGAGTATTTCGGGTTACGGAATACGTCTCCGAAGTAGCAGGCTGAAATGTTACTGGCCAACATTTTTTGAGCGATCTGTTTTTACTGAAAAGAAATTCTGTACACTACGAACCAAGTGAAATGATCAAGTACATGCTGTTTCTAAGTTGTCTCCTAAACCTCCTAGATATGAGGTCTGATCAGCGTGCTCTGTGGTTAGAGGTTAAAAAGCAGATTATAAAATACCTAGATTCAGATTTTTTTTTTGTCCTGATTTGGCCTAAAATGGAGTGTATTAAACAAATTCTGGTCTGCAAAAGACCAGAATCAGTTAAAGCTATGAAACAATGTGCACTACGTGTCAATATTCTATTTCACTTACAAGAAAACACTAAGTCAGCTACCACAAATTAAGATATTTTCCTGATGTGACTTTTTTTTTTGTTTTGTTAAAAAATATGTGGAGTAAATGTGTTTTTTTTTTTTAATTCAAAGTTTCAAACAACAAGATTCTTTTCTTTTCTTGAAAATATGTAGGAATCCAAACTAGTGTGTTTAGAGTCGGTTGACTGTGCAATCTCTTAGTGGCAACTGAACAGCTACAAAAAACTTTCTTTTTTTTTTCTTTTTTTTTTTGAAAAATCTCCCCTTTTTTCCTGGTTTAAGAAGATAATAGTGTATTATCGCTCTGTAGCCATTAGATGGCAGATAAAAAGCCCCCTTTTAATATGTGGGTTTGATTTTTTTTTTTCTTTTTTCTGTTTTTCTTTTTTTAAAGCCCACACCAAAGAGGAGGGCACAAGGCAAAGCTGTATGAGTTATTCCAGAAATTGTGGAAATCACTTAGGGCAATAATAAAAACACTTCAGGGTACAAAAAAGCTTGACTACACATTTCAGTTTTCTTCCTCGAAAACACAAACATAAATTGGGCTTAACGCTCCTTTTTGTTTTCTATATGCACCTTGGCCTATGGCGTTTTTGCCCTGTGGCCCGCAGGGCGGTTAAGTGCGCAACACAATAAAACCAGTAGAGGTCCAGTTTCACTTCCCAGCTCTCCCGAGTTGGGCGAGTTTAATCTCAAAACTCCCACTCGACGGCCTCTTCTCGACTCGCGGCCTTCTCCAAGCGGTGGATGATGTTGTTCAAGTTTGCCGCTTTCTTTTTCCTCAAGGAGCTGTCTCGCGTGTTCCTGGAGCTCGCTGCCTCGGAGAAGCCAAACAAGCTCTGAAGAGAGTTGGCTTTCTGTGAGCCTGTGGCCGGCGTCGAGCTCGTACTTGGCACACTGGAGATTTTCTCTGAACTTTCTTTTGACTTGTAGGAGCTCTCCCCTGTAAGGACTGAGGTGGAGGCAGCTGAGGTAGAGGCATCCCCTTCCGTGGCAGAGTTTGGCAGTGTCTCCAGACCTTCTCCCGGGCGCTGTGATGCCGGCGGAGAGCTCTGGCGCGGTGCTCTGAGCCTGCCCTCGTCGTCGGTGTCCTCCAGGCTCTCGGCCTGGAACGGCTCCGCTTTCTCCGAAGACCTGGCGCCTTGCAGTGCCTCTTCCCCCGCTTCGAAAGCCGACTCCGCTGGCCCTCCCTGAGACTTTGTGGTTGCATTGCTGTACTCATCCGCCTCCGGGCCACTCGGCTTTCCTTCAGGTGGGCCTTCTGCGTCCACGCCATCGCAGCTGTCTCCCTCGGAGCTGTGAGCGGCCCTGCTGCTTCTGGCGGAAGGAGAGTCGCTCGACCCAGCCTGGCTCTGGCTCCCGGCTTGAATCTCCTCGATGAACAGCTCCCGGCGGATGCGAGACCTAGGAGACAGAGGAGAGGGATGGTGAGTCTGCCGCGGGTCACTCAGAGCCACCCTGCTCCACCAAATACACCATTCAAAACGCCCTTTCGTAAGACGCCATTTTGCCTTGGCTACAGGACAGCTGCACCAAGCCGGGTCAGCAGAAGCGCTCACACCCTCAAACCCAAAGGATTGACTCAAAAGGCATTTGGAAGAATGTGAGATATTGTCAAGATGCTCTTAATTTCACTTTCCCCGGCCACATGCCCGCTGCGAAGCCTGCTGTGCTAGAAGGTACGCAGGCTGCAAACCCCAGACCGCCCTGGGGCTCCTCCATGGCGCAGTGGGAGGGCAGGCGGGCGCAACCGGGATTTTGAGCAGATAAGCCATTTCTGTAACTTCTGCAGCGCTCAGTGTTGAGACTGACCCTCCGAATTCAACCAGGATTTTGTGTATTTATTGTAAATCTGACGTTGATGACTGCCCCTTCTAGTAACCACAGCAGGCATTATGGACTAAAGCAAACCCATAAACTTTATGCAGATAATCAATTTGTACTAAAATGATTGGTGAAAGCCAATGACAGATCATGTTCCCTTTTTTTTTCAAGTTTAAATTAAGTAACATTCCTAATCGTATGCTCAATTTTTACAGCACTGGACGTGTTTAAGGGACAGAGATGAAAGGCTCTGCAGTCTCCCATTCCCACTAAAAGTCTGACACCAGGAAGGTGAAACTTTACAATACAGTGGACCAGAAAAGGGATGATTTTAAAAATATGAACACATTTCTAGTAGATCCAGAAGAAAATGGCTTGTAAATTCAAAACAATTCAGATTTCTACTAGAAATGAGCCACAATTTGCCTAAACAAAAAATAAACAAGGAAAAAATGTGGACAACCCCCTTGGTGTTCTCCTGGATACCGAGGAGAAACGAAGATGAAACAAAGTCCGTTGTTCTGAAACCGCTCTGGGGAAGCACAGCCTTTTGACAGGTTGTCAGTCTATGAGCTAGTCTGACTTCTGCCTCATTTTTTATTTAAAAAATCGATTTCAGAACATGAATAGTGACAAGGCAAGCAGTGCATTTCAAGGGAATTAATGCACTCCATGTGTGGTTAAAATTGCCTGGCGTGCCACCTTGTGCCTCCTATTACTTGAAGCGTGCAGTAATACCCCAAACACACTGCCTTTGCCATTTAACTTGGTCCTTCGTCCCTCCTCCTTCTCTGTTTAGGAGCTCCCAATGTCCTCACAAGTACAGAACAGTTTATGAAAAAATCTTAGGGTCTAGGGCAACTCTTTCTCCATACTGCTCTGTCATTAGGAGAGGTTATGACCACTGTCCAGATCCTAATTTGCAACCAAGAGGGAGCCTCAATGACCTGTGGTCAGGGATGAGACTACAGACACAGGGAGAGTTTAGGAAGACTTTATCTTTCAGAGTGAAGATAACACTTTTGTTTTAGCCAGGGAGAACTGCTAAGGGTCTTGCAAATCACAAGTGAAATGCTGTCCCAATGCTGATGGCTGTATGAATTTTTCATTTTTCCCTAAATGTGCTATGGAAGACAGCATACAACAGAAAAAAATAGGATAATTGCAGAACACCATCTGAATACTCCTTTTGAAGCTAATGATATTATTGACTTACTTGAAATGCAACAGAGTATTTCAACAGTACTTGCTGACTCTACACTTTTGAAGGATTTAGGGGGTCTGTAATTTTCCCTAGGAGAATATTATTCACCTAACAGAAGACCACAGGTGCTAACATTAATTTTCTATTACCATTAATTGCATGCATCCTGCAACATTGATTATCAGGCTCTATTTATGCCTATAATCTCCCTGTGCCGACACTGATCCAGAACATGCTGCTTCTGTAACATTCCCCAAGTCAGGAGAGGAAACAGGTAAGAGCTTTGTGCCTGCATGGCATTTAAAACACCTCAGCTCCAGCAAGATACTGAATGATGACATGCTCACCGACTATCTGACCACAGCCCTACAGAATACAGGTTTGATGTCTGTGGAAATCCCTGGAATTCACACCCAATATATTGCTTCTGGAATCTAGTCTGGCTCCTGATTAACATAGTAATTAAATCCCTACGGTAAAGAAGAACTGGTGACAGCAGCTAGGAAATTCCAGAGAGCATTCCTCTCAGTGGAAGGTGTTGGCCTCGACATCAACACATCCTGTTGGCATTCATCAGTGTAACTCAAAATATCCGAGATCTCCTGGGGTGTATGTTGGAAGTTCCCTGTACAAGCCTTCACACAACTCCAGGAACTCATCTAAATGAGCATAATGCTACAGTTCATTGAAAGAATATGCCCACAGTAAGAGCAATGAAATTTAGGATCCAAGAGCACTAGATTACAATTCAAGAAAGTTTGGTTTAATTCCTGATGCTTTTGCAGTATCATCTCTATGACCTTGCCAAGTTTCTGTGCCAGTTTCCACATGTGAAGTGGGACAGAAATCCCTACCTCCTACTCTTTTGTACAGTTCTTAAGACAACAGAGCCTCAAACTCTGATGGGTCCTGTATATGTGCTTCACTAATGCAAAGCAAGGAATATTCTTATTTTTATGTTCTGAGAGCTGTGTGATTGGTATGGATGCAAAGCCATAGACTTGGAGAAGTCTGCAGACATGTCAAAATCCTTTACACCTATTTGTAGTCTGAATTGAATTATTTCTTTGCCTGCCGAGGATTTTTTTTAAGTTTCTGCTGCTGTGGAAAGTAAATGCTAGTGCTGACTTCCCATTTGGTGGATGTAAAGGTAGGGTCTGGTGTAGCAACCATCTTTGGAAAGTGAGGTTTGGGCTGAATCCCAAAGGAAAAGCATCATTGCAACAGGATTCCCAAGAGATGGGAGGACAAACTTGTCCCAATCTGTACCCTGCCTCACCTGAAGTTACTTTAAAGAAAAATTTGTATGGTCTGAGGTTTGGAACGGCTTCTGTATGAAGACTCTTCAGTTTGGAAAAGAAATGGCTGAGGGAGAGTATAGAAGAGATAAATAAAGTTAAGTGTGGCCTGGAGAAGATGAAGAGGGAAAAGACTACCCATTTCCTGTAATACACAAGCTGCAGAACAGACAGATCCTGTTCCCCTAGCAGAACACGTAACTTGTACCTCTTCTGCAATGTCCTGCAAATGATTTAAGAGTACTTCATGCATGAAAGCTAAGAAAATTATTGTACAGAGGAAAAGAACAGGCATGTGTTTTGATTTTTCAGTGGTGGCAACTGCTCACAGCACCCAGGGCTCCAAACAGGCTTGAAACATCTCTTTGAAGTCCTGAAGATTCAGCGGCACATCTGGGAGCAGGTCCAGATCACTCAGTGCTGTGAGGCTTGTGCTACCCACCAGCCTACAGCACCTAGTTTATACATTTTTTATTTTGTATACAACTGTCAGCACCTAGTCTACATTAGTGTATAGCTTGGTGTGGCTAAACACGCTGATCAATCATGACTTGTCACGCTTTCTCGCAGCACGCCTGAACAGGAGATCTCATGATAATGAGGAAGATGACACATGCCACCAGTGCTCCTGCACTCGTCTGCGTAAGTGAGAACAGCACATTTTGCTGTCAGGCCGAAGGGAACATATTTTCATAGGCATTCCTCCAACTTGTGTATAATTGCCTAGAAGTGGGAATTGGAAGAGAGGCCTGCATTTGGAGAACTCTGAGCAGTGAAAGAGGCTGCATCTGTAGCGAATTCAAGTCAATGAAATTCAGTGTAAATATGATTACTTGTTAGTTATAATTTTAAAATTTTATATTGTTTACTATAAACATTATTTTATTATTGTGCATAATATTTCTGAGATATGTCATTAAACTGTGCTGCTTCTGCTTCAGCAACTTCCCTGTTAAAAGCTGAGAAGGGCCAAAGTAGAAAATATCCTTTAAATGTTAGCAGTTTCTAAAAACAAACAAGTTCAGCAATCTGGACTAATTAGGAACGTTACTGGCTCTGAGTGAAGGAGCAGAATAGTATTAAATCTGCTATCTTAACTGTACCTCTTCAGTAGTCATTAGCACAAATTTCTTGGAGAAAAGTCTGCTGCACTAATTAAGATTCCCAATCCCAAGCACAGTTGATAATATGTTTATTCAAATCCTTATATGTCATTCCAGCATTGTTTCTTTTTATCGGTGTCTCTAGGCCAAAACCTACTTCAATGTTTCACATGTAGAGAAGGTTCGTTCTAATATGAGAAAGGAACTAAACAGATCAACATCTTATTTCATTTCAGCTGGACTCAATGATTTAATCATAACAATGAAACAAATCTGTGGCCACATCTGACTTCAGCGTTATCGGTTCTCTGTCCTCCATGACTGTACAGAGCTTCCCAGAAATGCAGCACACACTGTGCCTATTTTCAGAGCTCAGTGACTCAAGACCCAAAAGAAAATCCTCTTTTTGCTCTGATGTGGAAAAAAAAAATATGATGAAAGCCATGCAATTCTGATGCCATCCAGCAGAGGACACTTCCAAGCACCCCCCACCAAGTGACCCAGCCATAACACACACAACACACATCTGTATGTGTGGGTATATACATGCAAGTATATGTCTGTGCACATTCAAGTAAGAAAGACCAGTCTTGCTTACTGCAATGGGATTTATAAATATTCATTAGTGGACATCTCTAAATCAACGCCCACTCCAAAAGCGAGACTTTCTGTTTAAAAGCACTACTTACATCAATATATGAATATTGCTGTTCCTCAGGGATGACTTAAAATTAGTCTGGAGCATTAGCATTACTGTTAGTTAGAACCTCCCTGCTGTCGGAACTGTTCATTTCGTACAATTGCTCAATGCTAGCGGAAGGAGACACAGTCTGCTGAAGCAGAGCAGCACCCTGCCAAAGCAAATAAAATAAATCCTTTCTGAGTAGGGCTCCCGGGAGATCTCATACCTGTAATTGTGGAACCAGTTGATCACGGTGCTGGTTTTCAAGTTGAGCTGCGTAGCGAGTTCCTCAATGGTTTTTGGTGATGGGTATGGCTTTTGCTGGTAGGCTCGTTTCAGAGCTTCCTTCTCTTCTGGTGCCAGCACCACCCGGGGCTTCTTCAGCTGATGCTGTGGCTGCGGGCTGGCTCCCTGGCTGTAGTCTATTCCAGCGGATGAGGACTCACAAGACTGACTGTCGCTAACAGAGCTGTGTCGCCGTTTCATGTAGGCTGAAAGAGAAGTGCATCGGATCAGCCCCAGCTGAATACAAATGCAAAATCAATGAATATACGAGCTGTGGAATAAATGCGAAGATGACAGGTTGTAGATGCATGGATGGGCTGTTCGGAGAGAACAGAAAGGAAGGGGCATCATCAGAGATCAGAAGAAAGCAGATGTGGGGAAGATGCAAGAGGCAGAAAAAGAAGAAAGAAGAGAAAGAAAAGAGGGTAAATCGCCTGGAAACCTGACAGAGTTTTCTGCTTTTTCAATGAACACGGGACATGAACAACAGGGTTCAGTTAACACGACTTATTTCAAATTCACTCTTTCAAGAGTGGCGAACTTCCACGTAAAGCACCCGATTAGGGCAGTTGCACTTCATTTCAATGTAAATGGTTTTGGTTGTTAAACACTTAAGGTGTACACTAAGGTCTCTCTATTAAAGGTCTCTGAATTAAAAATGTGACCGTGGAAGCTGAAGGCAGCCGCAACCACGGCCATGTCTCCAACACACGATGGCGCCCGGAGCCTGCAGATCCCAGCGATGGGCTGAATAACCAACCCATCAGGTCTTTGCTGCTTTTTCCTACAGATCTCTGCTATAGCGGTTACAGGTTATGAAAGAAAAACAGCCCACAGCGCCCTCCTCCCCTACGCAAGGTTCCTTCAAAAATGCATATACTTTTAAGAAAGCTCTTGCTGCACTGATGGATCTCGGTGAGGCTGATGGCAGAAGCCCGTGATACCACTGCTAACTCTCCTCCCCAACGGGGACTAAATTATCCTGGCAAATTCTGCAAGGCAAGAGTCCCAGCAAATGCTGTCACTGACTTGATTGATTTACACCGGGCAAGAGAGGTGGGATTTACTGCACCTGGCAGTATCATGCACAAGCATTGCTAATGAGGGGGCTGAAAACGGCAAATATAGATGAATCTTGTCAATAAAATATTTAATGGCCTGTTAAATACCTTCCAGATATTTAAGAGTTTAGGTATTCAAGAGCTGCAATTTGATAACCTCAGCTATTAAGTTCCAGATTACACCAGCCTGACATCAATCTAGCAAGCACTAAATCTCCAACAGCCAGGAGCTCCGGTCAGAGCCAGGGACCAATGTGGGGCACATCACACCGGTCAGCAACCAAATTCCTCAAAAAATAAATTTCTTTCTCCCCACAGCTCTGCCTTTAGGCTGAAGGTGCACAAAGAATAAAAACTCAATGCAATCAAATAAGCTGAAATGTTGAAAGCCCTTCTCACACAAGCCAACTTCTTCTGGCAGAGCTCCCTACAGGACTGGCTAGGTTTTCTGTCTCCAGTGGGTTTCAGCATCCTGTCCTCTACACGGTGGTACATCCAGTGGGACCTTTTTACACTGTGTCATACTATCGTCAAAGTGCATTTTGAACACACTCTGTAACCTTTGGGGGTATCTGCATGGCCCTCATTTTGTTTTTCCTGAATATGACAGATTACCTGTGGATTGCCTGCTGTGTAAGATCACTGATATGGAACAGAATGTGAGTTGCTCATGATCCATCACTCTGCCATGATACAGTCCTGCACGCTTTTGAAATAACTATAAAAAGCAAAGTTGTCTTTTTTTTTTTTTTTAAATAAACTTCATTTTAAAAAAATCACCTTTTTAAGCTGTTCCAACTGGATGTAGAACTGCAAAGTGACCACAGGTAAATGCATTATTTCAAGGTGACCTATTGGCCTTATCTTTGCAGCCTTCAAGGAACTGTTACAACCTTCAACCACGGAATTAATCATTCCAGCAACATCATCTCACATTTATATAAGGTCTTTAATCTCAAAGACTCCTAGGTGCTATTTCAAACTTGCATTGACATGCAAACTATACACAAGGTTCCCTTGTCTCCTTTGACAGCACAACCAAGAGGGCTGAAAGACAGCATCTATCACTTCAGCAACGTGCAGCAGCTTAAAGGAGGCCATGAGACAAACCAGAACCTCACATGGAAGATGTAAAAGGTGTTTAGGCTATCTCTGACTGGAGTTTCTGGAATTTGGTCAGGCGACTGAGTTAACATGAGACACCCATGCACCAGGATGCTCTGAATCTCTGCTTTCTCTGCTCTCCAAAGGATGGCATTTCTGGCAGGTCAGAGCTCCCATCTTTAGACTCCTAAGAACAGCACAGAGCTGTGACAACTTCGGAACACGCACATATTTCCTTAACATAAAAATAAAGAGGACGTTCCACTGTTTTGTCATAACCAATTGTTTTTCTGGAGGATAACATATTATCAGAACAAATTTCCATTGGGTCAAACACACAATCCTGGCACTTCTCCATGTGCTGAACTAGCACCTAAGCTTTAGGCTTTAATGGTGCTCTCTGGAAACTTTACATGACGTTTATAAAAGCTTTTCCTTTGGAATTCTTATTTTAAACATATGTGCTGCGTGTAGACAACATAAGGAGATCATTCAGCACATTTGCAGTGACAACAAGGCTCAAACTGGAATCCAAGTCACAAACACACTTGATTTTTGGAGAAGTTTGATTTTTGTCTGTGATCAGTCTCTACTTCTCAGGAGACCTATGAAAAAAAAAAAAACCCAAATGTAATCTGGGCAAAGGTCTGGATCTGCGTCTGAGACCAACTTGTCAAGGCCAGCTCCATCCGCTGAGTTTTACTACCTTTTTTTCCCCCTGCTGTTGCCAACCCAGCATTACCGTGTCCCTTGGGGAAGACTCCCCAGCATGTGCTCAGCTATAGACGCAGCAGACACTACTGTAGAACTTAGCGGCTGCCCACTGAGGTAAAACAGAGCTCCTTTTAATATAATTTTTTATCTTATGCAGTATTGAACAAGATTATTAAAAAGCGAAATAATGGGGAAATAAAGGGAATTAAATTTTCTCCTGACAGCAGGCTTCAGTACTGTTCAGTGACGAGTGCGACATTACCAGCAGCAGACACACTGGGAGGTTATAAGAAAGAGGAATGAACTCTTCCAAGGCAGAAAGGTGGTGCAGAGTGTCTCAGCCTAGTAAGCGTGAACCCCCGGCCTCCTCCAAAGAGGTTAGTTAATGTATGTTGCAAATTTTCAAAACCTCTTAAAATGGACATTTATAGCACAAACTTCAGACTGGCAGAACAGAAGAAAAGATATATGCAGCTCACCTTTATCATAATTATTAATTTACTCCCTTAATAAAATGTGGCAGAGAAATAATTGATAATAATGTTTCACTGGTAGCAGATACAGTTGCATTGTTCTTTAACTGACATTAGCTGAAGGGAAAGTTAAATTCTTAATGTGGCCCTAGAGCAATTTAAAAGGTTAAATCACAGGATCCTTACCTGCATGAAAGGATTTTGCAGAAAATACAGGGTTGAATTCACTTTAGAGTGCTCTGCTACGAGGACAGCACTTACACAGTTCAGGAGCTCAGTACAGAGTCTCAAATGATTTATAGCCTTATCTCTATTCAGGTGCCATCTATAGAGCATATGTATTGCACAGTATTTGATAAGAATCCAGTTTAGAAAATAGTTTTGAGAGGATATTGTCAGTACTACTTTTAAATTATTTTTATTTTATTTTCCTGCATTATGGGCGATATTCTCTTTGAGGCTATAAAAAATCCCGCTAGTTGACAATTTTATATCTGCCATATTTCTAATACAGCAAAAACCATCATGGCTCCCTTTGGTTTACAGTTGTAAGTGGGAAACCCAAGTGGGTTTTTCTCCCCATGGAAGATCACGCACAATTTGTGATAAGATTCTGCACTGCATTATATTACACTGGTTACTATGACAAGGATTTGAATTTCTTCTTAAAAGCATGCAAGACTAGAATTTTCCCAGAAGCTCCCTCACTGCGATTTTTAATATAATCGCTAAGTTCTTGATCAAATGCGTTAATGCTTTCAGGACATCAGTCAACAGCAGAGCTTTCAGTGCACACGATTAAAGCTGTCTGTGCTAATATCATTAAGGGATAGCTCAAGAGATGTATATATCATTAATTAGTTAACTGCTGATAATGGCAGCCTCTCTTGTAAAATCACACAAACATACTAAAAACAGGGCTCTGAATAACCACTGTTTTTTAGTAATGAATTTAAAATATAGAGAGTAGGATAAATTTTCAGGATATACTCCCTACTAAGATACCCAATAACAACTTAGATGTCTCACAGGTACATACTCATGACCTAGCCGTTTTACGTGAGCATGTATTAACACAATCACCTTCCCCCATCTCTATAAAGGCTACAAATTTAATTACTCTCCAATACCCTTTTATAAAGACTGCATCTTTCCTTCCTCCTAGCGACCATCAGTGCAGGACTGGCAAGAAGCTCTCTCAGGAATCAATGCACAGTTCTTCCAGCCCAACATCTGTGACCAGCTGCAGCACTATTAACTAATAACCCAAAGCCAGCTCCCAAACTCACATTTCTCATTTGGTAAGGCAAGTTATCAGTGATACACCAGGGCCTCAGTAATTAATCTATACGAGAATATAGCAATGATTTCATGACAGCTGGGGAATATTCAGGGTTTGGGGTTGGTTTTTTGGGTTGGTTTTTGGTTTTTTTTTTTTTTTTGAGATGTATCTGCTTGAGCTAGCATCAAATAAAGCTATGAAAAAGCTGTCATGAAGTCCTTTTGCATAACCTTCATAATACTGGATCAATGCTGCCTATATACTATTTACAGAGAATTATAAAAGACACGGTCATCTTTGAAATAACGGAAAACATGAGTCAGCAGTCTGCTCCAAGTTACCTTTTTTCTCCATTCGTTTCATATCCATCAGCTTCTCCACGTTGTTGGGATCGTTCAGCCACAGCTGCATGCGGACAAAGGGTTCCCGTCCCTTCAAACTCAGCTTGTGCCAGGGCTTTGGGCGAGCCAGAAGGTCTGAGACAGAGCCTTGTGTTAGCCCTAGGATTGTCTCCCCAAACAAACGCTGACCTAATACAAAATTGAAAATCGCATGAATTCATTCAGCTAAGAGACGAGGCTAACTAAAAAGACAGAACACGTCTACAAGATCATTTGTCAATTATTCTTACTTTAGAATTGCTTGAAAACCCAAAAGAAACATTTAGAAGAATAAAAGCTCTCCCCCCCACTAAAAGTGTAAATATTGAGCTTTAGTTTAATCCTTAGGATCTGACTGTGGCAGAGGGGAGCTCAACACCTTTGGGGACTGGGACCTTACAGTGAAACAGTGTGCAAAAGATAAAATTAATGAGATTAAAAATAAACTGAACTTTCAGCTAAGCAGGCAACTAGTGAGAGCAGTGAGGCTACTTAGCTCTTATGCAGGAGGGGAGTGCAACCGCTTCGTTCCAACAGGGCAATCCAAACATTTCAAGCAATCAATGAACCAAGACCAACGCAACCCCCCATTCAGGAACAGTCATGTAAGTGTCCTCAAAGACACACGTACGTATTTTCTGTGTTGTACTGTCTGTGGTGTTCTAACTGTGTCTTACCAACTAGAGATAATCACATTTCACTATATAACAGCTTTTTTTACATCCTCTACAGTACTTGTAGTTAACAAAACTTAATTATAGTTTTCTTTCAAAATGCTATTGTCTAGCAAGGTAAAAACCACACATGCTTTTCAATGTACAGCATTCATATTGCATGAGTAACACTAGTTTTACATGGTTAAGATCTAAGTTAGCAAGGACTGTGGGAAATGCCTGTGCAGCTCAAACCCAACCATACAGCTGGTTTTCTAAAACCCTTCACTTCACTGTTCTTCCTAAGCTAAACTGCCTTGATAGGCAACAGCTTTTGTTGCAAGACAGCGCCTGAAGTCATCTGAGTCATTGCTGGTGATTTCTGATAGAAGCACAGCTATCATCTATTTTCAAGGTAACCCAAAGATCTTTCCATAACAACCAAGTTTAGGCCTCAGGGTCTCGTGTGCGATCTGTAGCTTTTGAATGCCCTCACTAAGACAAAGCAGAACACTTTTCCTTCACCTCCTAGCCATGCCAGCAGTCTTAGCCTGTGGCCACAAACAGATCCCTAGGGGACAATGCAGATGCATGAGGGCTTGTGCTCCTACAGCTCTGCAGGACATGCCCGCACTTGCAAAAGCACCATCAGCTCTTGCCTTCACAGCCTCACCTGATCCCATCACAAACAAGTTGTGGAAAATATCTACTCCATAAAGCCCTCCTGTGTGCTTAATTCCACGAATCTCCTCCTCCTCTTTAAAAACACCCCAAAACCTTTGGCCTGGCCATTTTTTTTGCCTGTATGGGGAGAGGGGGGAACGTGAGACCAGTTAGAAGCTGCAGAACATCCCATTCAGATGCATGGGGCAGGTGGGTCTGCAAAGCTTTTGGAGGAAGCAGGCAAGATCGTGAAAGGTGGAAAGGGGAAATGAGGACAGGGCTAACATGAGAGTCTCCTAATAAGCTCTAAAACTAACCTTGAAAATGGTTCTTACAGACTGAACAGAAACCTAAATTCAGAATTCACGTAAGCTCCTAAGCGATAAGTGATTTTCAACTACCCTCAATATCAGGAAAATCAAACAACAGAAGTAATTCAGAGCCAATTTTAGATCATGCGTATTGCAGAGTTAACCTACTCCCTGTTTGTCTTTGCATTTAAAAACATCAGTAAGGCCTTATCCATTTACCTTTAAACCTGCCAGCTACTTGCAAGATAAGACAGCTACTTTAAAGATCTTTTAATTTGCCTTTGTAAATAACTTTCCTTTAACGTTCCCCACAGTTTCTAACCCCAGGCTGTGCTCAGGCTGCAATCCATGCAGCTTTTTTTCCAGTGGCCGCGCGAGCTCCGACAGCCACTGTGCAGAGCCAGCGCGGCCACTGCAACCGCCCGTGTGGCTGCACAATAAATCGGAGCAGTGAACTGATCCGAGTCAAACCAACCTACCAAAAATAAAATGGCCGCTTTTGACTCAGACCAACTGGTCCGGTTTATTGTGTGGCCACACGAACAGGAATACTGGCACAAATCAGCAAAAAGGTCAGAAAGAAGCAGCCCAGAGCAGGTACTAGCAATGCTGCCGAAGAAAATGAACTTCAAACCATAGCTTAAAACTTAAAAATGCAAATGCAGAAGGAGGTAACATCATGTTCTCTAGGTGTTAAGGACAAAGCTGAAGATACTTGTGTCATTTATTTTATCCCAGGATATAGCAGGACACGATAAAACACCTGAAAGACTCCCAAGCTAATGGGGAACGTGTTAGAAATCATTCTCAGGAGGTAGCAGGTGTATCACACTCCATCTTCATCAGAGAGCTATTAATAACTGGAATATTTTTAAGCACAGGTTTCCTAAAACTCCTGCTAATTCCCCCCACCTTTTTCCCTCATATCCTTCACGCCTGTTCCCACTGATGTAGCTCCTCATGGACAAAACTTTCTGTAAATTACGCTGGTTTCGTGGTTAGTCCTGGGTTTTTCTGCAAAATCCCCACCATTGCAATCTTTCAATAGCTCACTGCATTTGCTTCCCTCTGTACCTAAGTTGTACGTTCCCCAGCAGGGAATCACTGATAATACTATGACATTTGGGACTAGGAATACTAGCAACATCTCAGCGTTCATGCTGCCAGCATCGTTTGCTAAAATCATGACTGTTGAAGAATGCTAAAAGGCATGGGAGGAGAGACCCGCCAAGCACATCTTGAGTGGTTTTGCACAACCGTGGTCTTTACTGGCTGATGATATTGAACAACTGAGCCACCACCAGTTGCCTAAGACAGGTTCACAAGGCCCTGTGGCCTAAGACAGAGAAACCTGTGCACCGAGTCAATCTGGTGCACTAGCACACTGAGGGCGCAAAAGGAGACATTGAAACTGGTTCCACACCTAATGCAGAGTTTGGGGCACATTTCCTGGCTCTTCTGCTGCTTTTTAGGCTTGTCAGCCACACTGTAGGAAAACAAAAATCATGGGAAATAAAAAAGACTAAGTAAAAATGGCATCAAAGCAAATGTAAACAAAAATACTTTTTCAAACCTCTCTGGAACACCAGAGCAGGTACAGCACTCAACAGTATTTGCCCAAAAACTAAGGGCTTGAACCTGCAAACCCTTACCATGGCTTGTGGCTTTATCTCTACATTATCTCCACTGAACAAGCAACCACAATCTGCCCATGCCAATGTGCAGGAGCAAGTCATTCTGCTGGGTTCAGTGGAACACAATCTCATGCAGGGTATGTCCACGATCAGGGCCATTTTCTTTTTTTCCCAAATTATGTTAAATGAAAACTTGCAACCTCCCCCATCCCAGTATTTTTCCCCTTTAAAAAAAAAAAAATCTAAGATAATAACACGTTGTTCTGTGCCTGGCCGAACAAAGGCTTCCTTACATATTAAAGGAGTTTTTATTTATATGGTCATAATGTTCAGATGATATGGATGGAATTCTCCCTTGAGTATCATCAGCAGCCTAAATCAACACTTATCTTTTTGGTCCCATCTGTAGTGAATGGAGAGAAACTGGTACTTCTGGAGAGTGATTCATCCCAACTATCTCAGACATCTATTCTGAACATCTAAATGCAGGTGAGATGAATCCCATGCTATGCCCCAGAAGCACGTGCAGGTAACACTGGGGCAGCCTTACTGCCTTCCCACTAGAGACTACAAAGGACTCCTAAAGGTTTCCCAATGCCTTGTGAGGGAAGCAAGTGCTAAACACGTATGAAGAACTAGTGATTTAGAGGCATAGTGGCAGTATTAAGCGTGGATTTCCCATACTCAGATCAGGTTATTCCCTTTGACTATACCATATATAAAGCCATGTCAACATTCCACCTAATTCGACACCCAAAACCTCCTCTGTAAGCAAAAGCAGCCTTAGCTTTGCACATCTCTAAGGAAAATATCTGAATGGCCCCATACACTTACCTACAACCTCAACTGAGTCTGAATTTACCCTCCTAGCTCTACAGGTACGCTATGCTTTTGCTTGTGATGCACCTCCCTCTCCAATCATGCCGGACTCCTCTACTTCACCTATGCCTAAAATGCTGGGGCCTTGAATCTATAAGCATGGGGAAAACAGCATTTCTCAAGAGGAGATCTCACTGGCTTTGGGGTCTTGGTCTTCTGGACAGCCTGCTGGACTGTACTTAGGGAGGTGGGAGCAGTATCTGGCTGGTGAGCCAGGGGCAGAGCTTAAGAAGAGCAAGGGTATGATGACATTTTAAGTAGAGTGTGACAATCTGAAAGGCTTTTTCTACCGGTTTAAAAAAAAAAAAAAAAAAAAAAATTTTTTTTAAAAGATTAAATTT